ACAGGGTGGCCTAAGGCTTCCTCTCTTTGGTCCTTTTCCTGACATGTTTAGTTCCTGTGATAGCAAAAGTCAAAACTACTCTTTAAGGACCCATGATTAAAGCATGCTTAGTGTTATGACATCTCATTCAGTCCCGATCCTCAACCTGTGTCACCATATTCTACACGGGAGAAAGCTGAGAGTCAGTGATGGTAATACAGCTTCCTGAAGAATTCTCTGCCTTCAGATGGAAAATATGAGGTTCCTACCCACCTTTCACTCTTCAGGATGGATTTGGGATGGTGTAGGGTATAGCTCAGTGATCCAGCACTGGCCTGTCATATACAAGACCTGGATACAAACTGCAAAAAGACAAAACCGCTCTAAGACTTCTTCACCAGCATGGTATTATTGACTCTGCTTGATGCTGCTTAAAGAAGCAGAGAAAACAGAGCGTCATGAAAACATAAATGGCCAATGAGAAAGAAGCCTTACACATCTTCTAAATCTTCTGCCTTGAGGCTTCTAAGCACTCACGACAATGGTCTAGTCGTTCTTCCATTGCACTATATCTTCTATTCATGCTCAAATAAAATACTTTTCAAAAATATGTATTCTTGCACAGATTATTACTGTATACATGGTCTTTATAAAAGTCTGCAACTGCAAGCCATTCTTCATGCTTCATTCCTTGTAACCCTGGAGATAACAATAAGCTGTAAATTTTTTTCCATTCTGTTGGTGGGGAAACTGCAAGTATGGAATGAGATGCAGTTTTTTCAAGTTCACTGATTTATACAAACATTGAGTGACTTGTGCTGTGTTCAGTGATGCAAACAGGCACGCTGAGCTGCACACTTGCTGTATCGATGGGCTGTGATTGGAGCCCTACCTTCAGCAGCTTCTAGATGAGCTGCCATGCAGATGGAAAGGGCTTACCTGGCATTTTCCAATACAGATCTTTCCTTTTGACTTGGCAAATTGCCTAGTCTCAATTTCTAGAGTTTGTTTCTTCTTTTTGCTTTCTTCATTTTGTGAAGAAGGTTTTCTTCTGTTGTCTTTATTGTTTTATTTTATTTTATTTTATTTTATTTTATTTTATTTTATTTGCCCTGGATCTTACTATGCTACCAGGAATAGCCTCAGAGTGACAATCTAGACCAGGTTAGCTTTGAACCCAAATCTCCTGCCTCAGCCTCCAGAGTATTTCAGCATATCTAGCTCCAGAATTTCTTCTTTATCTTATCCCTGCCCCTCTACATGGCTTTCCGGAGAGCACTTAATTTTTGTGTCCATCAACACTGAACCTGAGGGATGAATAAATCTACCTGCCATTGACACTTGGAACACAGGGATAAAGTAGGCTCAAAAATATAAAGTGACTTGCCCAAAGACACAGTACAAGGCACAGACCTGGAATAAAATGTGTCTTATCATCTTTAAACCAGGCTCCTTTCCCTAATATCAACGTTTTCCTTTGTACTGAGAGGCGGCTATTCACTAATCCTTGTATGCAAACAAGGATCATGGAGTGTCAAAGTTGGGAGGGCCTAGGTAGATCATCAAGTCCAGACTGGGTCAGCCAGTGAATGTTGGCGAAGAGAGTAACTTGGAGCAAAAAGGTCTACACTACAGCAGACCACAGGCTTGCTTTTTACTCTCAAAACTGTGACTCTGGACAGATAGATTTCTTATTCTTCTACCTTAGATCTCCTCTCCTGAAACAAGGAGATTATAAGCACGGTTATTTTAGAATGGTTTGATAAAACTAGAAAGACATCTGAGGTGGCACTGCCTTAGCATAGCTGGGGTTCCACAAGTGCAGCTAGGTAGAATTTTATCTGTACATAGTCGATATCTGCGGATCTGGTTCCAGAAGACAGTAGTTGGCAGCAATTTTAATCATGGACTTTGAAGTCAAATAAATCTAGGTTTAAACTGTCAGTCTTGGTAATCACTGTGTAATTCTGGGAAAGGTGCCTTTCCTTTCTGGGTCTCAAGTATAAAATAAAGAGGTTAATTGGACATCTCCTTTAGAATTGCTTGGTTATTAAATGTTTAGCTCAGCGCTTGAATCATATTAATGTCTTAGAATGTGATAATAAATCACAAGGCAAGGCATGTATGTTTATTAAGTGCCCAATATGCACAGTCAATCAGGACTAACTGTTCTGCAGCTTCATAGTCATGGCACTAAGTCCTTCTATGAGCTCATCTTGGGTGCCAAGTAAACAAGAATGGAAAGAGGGAAAGTAGGACACAGGCCTTTCCACTGAACATAGGGAGCTTTCTATCCCCTTCACACATCTGCCTGTTCTTCTGGTAGAGAAGGGGATCATAGCTAAGTGCGCTCTCTCATATCCACAAACCTTCTCTTTTGCCATTTTTTTTTATCAATTATATATTATTGTTTTCATTGCACTATTTATTTTTTTCTGCTCCCCTCTTTTCTTCCCTTCTTTCCTTCTCCCCTCTCCCAATTTACTAAAGAAACCTTGTCTGTTTTTCCCCCCTACTAAGATCCATGTGTGTCTCTCTTAGGGTCTTCTTCATTGTCTAGGTTCTCTGGGGTTGTAGATTGTAGGCTGATTTTACTTTGTTTTATGTCTAAAAGCCACTTATGAGTGAGTACATATGATATTTGTCTTTCTGGGTCTAGGTTATGGCACTCAATACAGTTTTTCTAGATTCATCCATTTGTCTGCAAGTTTCAAGATGTCATTATTTTTTACCTCTGAGTAGTACTCCATTGTGTAAATGTACCACATTTTCGTTTTTGTTTTGTTTTTATTTTTTATGTTTTTATTACTTTAAAAAACTACCAACCCAAGTTCCCACCCCCTCTTCTCCTCCCATTCCCTCCACACACCCTCCCACCCCACTCCCTCTAATCCTAAGAGATGGTAAGGCACGTTGCCTTATGGAAAGTCCAAGGCCCTCCCCACTACATCTAGGCTGAGCAAGGTATACATCCAAAAAGAATAGGATCCCAAAAAAGCCAGTGCATACAGTAGAGACAAATCCCAGTGCCTTTGTCAGTGTACCATATTTTCTTTATCCATTCTTTGGTTGATGGGCATTTACATTGTTTCCAGGTTCTGACTATCGTGAATAATGCTGCTATGAACACAGTTGAGCACATGTCCTTGTGGTATGATTAAGCATCCTTTGGGTATATGACCAAACGTGGTATTGCTGGGTCTTGAAGTAGATTATAGATTTCTGAGAAATCACCATACTGATTTCCATTCTGTAGTCTGCCATTTTGTCTTGTTGACTGTGTCCTTTGCTTTACAGAAGCTTCTCAGTTTCAGGAGGTCCCATTTATTAATTGTTGCTCTCAATGTCTATGCTACTGGGGTTGTATTTAGGAAGTGGTCTCATGTGCCAATGCATTCAAGTGTACTTCCCACTTTCTCTTCTATGAGGTTCAGCGTGTTGAGGTCTTTGATCCATTTGGACTTAGTTTGAATTCCAGGATGTTGATGCATCCAGAAGTTTCTTTATTGTACAGGATTGTTTTGGCTATCATGGGTTTTTTTTGTTTTTCCATATGAAGTTGAGCATAGTTCTTTTAGGTCTGTGACGAATTTTGCTGTGGTTTTGATGGGAATTGCATTGAATCGGTAGATTGTTTTTGGTAAGATCACCATTTTTACTATATTAATTCTACCTATTCAAGAGCATAGGAGACCTTTCCATTTTCTGGTGTCTTTTTTAATTTCTTTCTTCAAATGTTTAAAGTTTTTGTAATACAGGTCTTTCACTTATTTGGTTAGAGTTACCCCAAGATATTTCATCTTATTTGACATCCACAGCCCTTCTATTGCCGTCTTTGAAAAGTATTTTCATCTCCTTCCTTTACTTCATGTAAGCTACAGTGCTCAGACCTGAAGAGAGTAAGGGCCATAGGACCTCCTAGAGATTCACAGATGCTTCTCTCAAAGGAGCTCTGTTCTCTAAATCCACCAGGCCTGGTGTGACCAGTTCTATCTAGCTCAGACCACAGGCTGAGCTAAATTCCACCTAGGTAGCATAGAGTTTTAGATGAAAAAATAAGAATGTGGAGACCTGCCTTGTAGCTAGAATAATTTCCAAATTTCTTGTCATGGCTTCTGATTATCCTTCCTTCTCAGTTGACTTTGTCTTGGCTACCCCAGCTGCCTATTCCTCCATCTGGTCTTTCCTCGGGGCCTTTGCATTTACAAATATTCCTTTACAGTTCTTTCACATTTGCTGAGCTTGCAATGTTCTTCGCCTCATGTTCCATTCATATATCATTTCTTTCTCATTGTTCAGAGCTTAGCTAAAACTTTCATTACTTAGAAAGGCATCCAGAGACTATCTTCTCCTAAAAGCTCATGCAGCCCACACTCCCACTTGCTCTTTTCCAAGGAAACTTGCTGTATTTTTCATCACATTTGCCCTCATTTGGTTGTTCTGTTGGGGATTTTGTTGTTTTAGCTTTTGATTGATGTTATGCTTGATTTCTTGTTCAAAAAGTTAGCTTCCCAAAGAAATTCCCAGGACACGGATCTCAGTAAGTAATTTTAAAATGAATGAACAAATGAATGAATGAACTAATCAACGAATATATTGAATGTAAATGAGCATATTCATCCAAAAGTCTAAATCATTGAGGCTTACTTCTCACACCCCAGACTCATACTGCTAGGATCTAGACCTCTATTCTGCCTTCAATAACAACCACTCCAAGAAAAGATATACATTTTAACGTCTAGTATCTTTATTATAAAAGATGATTCATGATATATCTCTGTCTTTCAGGTTTGTATAACTGTAAATTAGGAGACTAAATGCACAGAACCTGGGAGGCATTTAACACTTGATATATGCTTTATAATTTTATAATTGTTATTATTTTAAAAACAATCTTCTAGCAGCTTACACACTCCTGATTTCTCAGGAACTTTCCTTGTGGCCATGGTTTTCTGTTTTTCCTTTCAGCTCCCGGGTCCTTCTGGAAAGTCTCACTCTGGTGTTGCATTGCTGTGTTGCAGGTTCACTCTGTATGCTGTAGATACTCGAGGGAGGCACTCGGAGCTCAGCACAGTGACTCTAAGGACAGCTTGTCCACTGGTGGATGACAACAAGGCAGAAGGTTGGTGGCTCATTTCTGCCTTTTCCAGGGAAGCTCCACGTTTTCATCTCTAAGTTCTGTACCCAAAAGACACTACCTACCACAGTGAGAGAGGAGAGGTTGGGGATGAAAGAACAATAGAATTAATTAGTCATAATAAAGGAGGAACAAATTGAGATGGACAACCAATATCTTTACTAATGGTCAGATTTGCTCAACCATAGGGAGGGCTAAGTACGTATTCTAGCCATAGTAGCTTACCAGTTTAATGTGTGTGTGTGTGTGTGTGTGTGTGTGTGTGTGTGTGTGTGTGTGTAAGTCAGAGCTGGCAAGTCAGTGACACTTCGAAGACTATTTCATCCTTTTATACCCCTGGTGACATTATCATTTCATAGCACACTGTTCCATTCCATACAATAGGAACTTTCAAGCCTGGACAACCACTGGTATCTGTCAATCAAATTTAACATAAAAAATTAAACTTTTTTGTTTATTTTTAGTTTTTCCTCATCCTTGAAGTTGAAAACATTAGATAAGAACATCTAAAACTAATACAGTAGTCAATCAAACTGACAATATACTTTGGCAATATGTAGATATAGTTTTTATATGTAGACTAGAAAATGGTGGTGGTAGCTATAGGTCCTAGTGCCTTACATTGTGCTAACATTTCTCCAACGAACTGGTCCCATCAGTGTAGTAGAGGCGAGTTTGTACCCTTTGGAATTTTACCTTGTTGATGGAGAGACACAAACTTTTATTGATTTAGCAAAGAGATTAGTGATAATGTTTTATGTGCTAGTACATAAGAGGAGCCAATGAGCTCCTGAGCCTTGAGACAAATAGATTTTGATGTTTTCTGGATAGTTCCTATATTATTTTAAAACAATGGATAAACTGTTTTAAAAAATTAGAACAGAAAATAGTACAAATTAGGTATTTTTCTTATCCTAACTCCAAGTGCCTTCGATTCTCTGAGGTCAGTTAAGCTAATAATGAAGAGGGGACACACCCACATTTTGGTCAGAGCCTTCAGAGCTGAAGCAATATGCCCTCTACACATGATGCATTGAAATCACATTGGTTAATTGGAGTTCAGAGGACTGGGAATGGCCCTGAAAGGCAATATAAAGAATCTGGACTTCTGTTACAAGGCTCGTGAACAGAGATCTATCAGACCTGGCTGCAGAAAGACATTGAGAACACTTCAGAGGTGAAGCAAAAGAGAGAAGGCAAGAATGTATTTGAGGCTAAGCATCTCTGTGAGTTGCCTTAGCACAGAGGTATTACCTTCAGTTGAGCTTAGACTCTACATACTGACTTTCTGCCTGGCCCTACACTAAGCACTTTGCATTCATTTTCTAACTTAGTTCATTCAGTGCACCTGTAGAGGACATGTCCTTCTCTTTAGTTAGGCATGGGAAAACTGAACTCAACTAACCAATGACATATTTCAAATGCAATGGAGATTCCTCTACACCAAGAACCACTCAGGTGAACACCCACCCAGCTATGCCTTGCTTTTTGTAAAGCATATCCATCACCCCTTTTTCCTCTACTGTCAATCATGTGCTCTGTGCTTCTCCTCCCTCAGAGATTGCAGACAAGATCTACAATCTATACAATGGTTACACCAGTGGCAAAGAACAGCAGACAGCTTACAACACACTGATGGAGGTCTCTGCCTCCATGCTCTTCCGGGTCCAGCACCACTACAACTCTCACTATGAGAAGTTTGGCGACTTTGTCTGGAGGAGTGAGGATGAGCTAGGACCCAGGTATGGATTTCGGAGTCGGGGTGGAGGACCAAAGGCTTTTTGCCTCTCGTTCATTTTCCTGGACCTTCTCTACCTACACAGACAATGGACTGTATCAAATAAAGAAAGGTAGGTAGTGATGAACATAATCATGCCAGGATAAAGGAGGGAAGCAGGAATAGCAGGCTGCTTTCTGGAAATGTGTTGGAATAGAATAACACTATGACTTCTTATAGATCGAAAACCAGTGCTACCTGCCCTTAACAGAAAAGTTATCCTAATCACTAATAAAATAACCCAAGATATGAGAACAACAAAAAATGGAGCAAAAGAAGCATATTGTTCAATTCTAAAAAAGCATAAAACTGCCCTGTGAAAATATGTTCAAAAGAAGTGCCCAGAACAGAACAGGAAGTTGGGTGAGTAGGGAGATAGAATCTAGGCAGAGTTGGGAAGGAGGAAGAATTTGATCAAAATATATTGTATAAAAATGTATTTTAAAAAAAAAGGCACAGCATCCTTGAGGGAGGGAAGATAATGAAAGAGGGAATCTAAGTACGTTTCAAATGTGGCTCACTGCTATTTAATGTGGGATCTGGTATCTTCTTAAGTACCAGTCTAAATCGTTTTCCCTGCCCCACAGGAATTCTTTTTAAACTTTAGGCGAGCACTCTGTTGGGAGGCACTAAAGGATTTCTGAGCATATGGGACAAAAGGCTTAGCAGCAGGAGAGGAGAGGTCAGCAGGAGCCAAGCCTTGACCGCCCTTGAAGTAGGGTCCAGGAGTTCAGCTCATCTCCTTGAGGTGATGGGCAACTTCGCAAGTGTGTTTCACAGGAGTGTGAGGACAGTATTAACAGAACTCATGGGGAGAAGGATCTCTCTGGCCCAGCTGGAAGCAAGAAGCACCAGGAGGGTGTGAGGCCTCTACTAGCTGCAGAGGTTGCAGTCCCGGGGTGCTGGGGCAGTATTCAGACAGGCATCAAGTAGCAGCAGCGAGAAACATGTTACTTTCTGAAATACTTAGTGAGAAGCTTCAAAATGTCCCCCACAGAATAATTATTCCCATGTTTCAGTGATGATAACTGGAGATACCACATGGTCTAAGTGAACTTCCTAGAGTTACACAGAGTTGTACATAGTGGCCAAAGCTGCCTGGAACTCTCGTGCTGAGATGAATTCGAGGCTGTTCTGGAAAGCTATAAGATTTGATGAACACTTGTTCAAAGGATAAAAAAAGATCCCTCCCTGCAGTAGGTCTTAGAGCTCTGTTGGGTCCTGGACTGCCACTTTTTTTCTTTTCACATGAAAGGAAGTTTCTGTGGATAAGAGCAAATGGAAGACCGGTCAGCAGCAGCCCAGGGGCTCGGAGGAAAAGTGCCGGAGTCTCCTTAGTGCCATTTTACCCATGGGTATAGGAAGGCTTTCAGCTTGGTTGGGCTTTCTCACAAGACTCAAAGAGTTTGGGTAGAAACAAGACCTGAGCCCCACGTCTCTCTTTATAACTCACCAGCATTCTTTATGACCCTTGAGGACATAAATTTCCCAGAAAGACCTTCTCACTGCCCTTAGACACAAGGTTATGTATTCGGTAATGGACAGTGATAACCAGCTAACCTAAGACATTCAGTCCCCAACCATCGCTCTTATACATGTCTCCAGCGTCCTCCTTCTCTGATCTCTCTAGATCCCTGAGAGGGGATTTGAGACACACTGGCATGTCACGAAGAATCAAAGGGGCCTGTCTTGTTCTGTTCTTCAGCTAGCTTTTTTATAAGATGATCAAGGTAAATTTTCTCGTTAGTGGTAGAATTATTTTCCTACATTCAGCAGAACCCCAGGTTGTAACTAGAATGACATTCTCTAAGACATTTTTTCCTAAATTTTCCACCTCTTTACTGTATGCCTGCATAGTATTTTAATTCTCTATGCTGCACTCGCTAGTTGTGGTAGCTAATTGGCTTCTGTGTTTACTAATGTATCACCTCTCCTCCCTACCACAAAGCAAGTCATCCACAGTTAATGATCTTTTATGCCTTACTCATTTTTGAAAGTAGATGCTAAATTACTACCTGGGGGTTAATTGGATAGTAGAATGCTGCTCTGAGTATGTGCACAGATGATTATGGATTCATTCTAATACAGCCTGCCTTCCAAATGTCTTCTCTGTACATCCACATCCATGAAACCATGAGTGTCCCTCAATTCTCTCTGTTCTCTCAAGTTTTCATCTGGAAATAACAGCATCAAGAACTCTAAGGTCAAAAGAATGGTGTGACCTTCTAGATATTAAAGTACTTGAGATTTCTCTTTATTATCTGATTTACAGATATATTTTATAGAATAACTTCTCGGACCCTTTGCTGGAAATGAGTGAATAAAGCTGCTCAGGCTGTGTGCATAGCTTAGCATCTAGAGGAGAAAATATAAACTGCAGGCAGTTGTAGTGGAGCATGCCGCAAGAAGCATGCAGGATGTGCACAGCAGAGTGTCTCAGATGTTCATGTGTATCACGTAAAATTCCTGTCCACTCAGTGGGCTGGAAGGAACCTCAGAGTTTGTATTTCAAACACACTATCAGGTAGTGCCAGTGTTGCTGGTCTAAAAATCCATGCTAATGACAAGGTTGTAGGTATAGGTAGACAGAGCAGCGAATACAGACCCAAACCCCAAGGAGAATCCATCCCTGCCAGAGAAAGAGAAGCTAATGGTTAAAATCAAAGAATGGACAGCCTGTCGGGTGCAAGGGGAATGGGGGGCTTTCATCAGGAAAAACCCAGTGCAAGATGAGAGCGGTGGTGAGGTAGGAAAATATATCCTGAATACACGAACTATAAATAACACTGAAACAGAGAGTTCAAGGTGAGAGAGGAGGGGATCAAAATGCCAAGGCTGGAGAGTTTGACCAGGGTCAGGTCTTGATGGCTTTAGTGAAGTCTACTCAGAAGTTTGTTCTTTACCCCAAAGTTACATAAGGCTTTTAAAAGAGCAATTTGAATAAATTTGTTCTGCCTCTTCAAGGTTAGCAAGTGTGCGGAACCAACCTGTAAAGGAGAGGGGGCAAGACACTTGTCTGGGCCAAGAGCCCAGGGTTCATGTCCTAGCTTTGCCACCTATTTACCGGAAGACCTGGAATCAATTCTACCTCCTTTCTGGACCGTGTTTGTAATGCAAAAGGGCTTAACTCTAAAGTCTCTTCTAGCTGGTGCCAAGGAACCAGAAATCCCTGAATGTCACAAAAACCAGAAAATGAAAACAACATGAATGTAATTTTGCCTATAACCTGACATTCTGTTTCTGGGGACCCAGGATGACAGGGGAGAAAAGAGCATTTCCCAAGAGTTGACACAAGATGAACCCTGATAGAATTCTCTTGGCCTATATAATTTCCAACCCCAAAATGTCTTCAACTCCTTCCACAGTTGGGGTTTACATACCTCATAAAATTCCGTGACAAAAGGGCATCTCTTACCTTGGCCTAATAAATCTGTCATTTTCCCCAGAGCCTGCTTCTCAGGACAACTGCAGGTTACTGCACACAGCTGCTCAGAGGAGACCCGCTGACACCCAGCTGTCCCACCATACGGTTCCTATTAGGAGACTTCAAAAACTGAGCTCATAGGTGGCCAGGGACCAGAATTTCCTCTGCTCAGAGCATCCTTGACCACTCTTGAGCTTCCTTGTACTTTCGGTTATGTTTGTTCAAATGAAAAGGTAATGAGAGGAGAGAAAAACCTTGCAAGGATCTGGTTTTAGAGAATTGGTCTATCTGAGCAAGAAATGATTTTATTTTGTCAGTCATGTTTACTTCTGTGGAAGACATTTCTAACAGATCACACAATTATCACAGGCTTCATTCAACCTGAGATCTTTCTCAACCTTAACAGACAAATGCGTCTGCCTCATCTGTGAAAAACAGGCACAACCACCACTGTACTCTTAGTGAGAGTAAGTGAACCTAGAACCATACTCCAGAGTCTTCCAAGATTGTATTGATGCCTTCAAGAAACTCTCGCTTTGCCAAGTCTCCATGGCCCCGCCTAGTAGTGCACCCTTTTAATGCCAGCACCCAGGAAACGGAGGCAGGGAGATTGAGGTGTCAAGTCAGAATCCACCATAGACAACAAATAAATAACAGGTATTATTATTTAAATTGGAAGTGACCTCTGTGGCTTATACATTTGAATACTTGGTCCCTAACTGGTAGTGGATGTGAGCAGGCAGTGGAACCTTTCAAAGGTACAACCCTGCTGGAGGGAGTAATGGCTGAAAGCAGAAGGCTTTGAAGATTAATAGCCTCCTCACCCACTTCCTGCTTTCTCTCTCTCTCCTTCCTGTATGTGATAGAAATGTGATCTTTTGGCTTCCTGTTCCTACTACCAAGCTTTCCCACCACTATGGACTCAAAGCCTCTGGCGTTGGAAGCCAAAATAAACTGTCCCCTAATTTGCTTTTTGGAGTTGGTAATTTTATCACCACAGCAGTAAATAGCGATATGCATAGAGAGACCCCATGTTGAAGGAAGAAAAAAATGAAGAAAATAGACTTCATTGATGGAGGAAGGTCATTGGCTAATGAAGAAACTGGCTTGACCCATTTTATTGGTTAGAACATAGGTGGGTGGAGTAAACAGAAGAGAATGCTGGGAGAAAGAGGAAGTGAGGTCAGAAGTAATGCAGCTCCTCTCAGAGCCAGATGCCTCAGACGGAGAGGCATGCTCCGCTCTCCCGGGCAGATGCACGCAATGAAGCTCCTCCGACCCAGGATGGACATAGGCTAGAATCTTCCTGGTAAGTGCACCTTGGGGTGCTTACACAGATGATTAGAAATGGGCTAAATTAATATGTGATAATTAGCCCAGAAGAGGCTAGATAGAAATGGGTCAAGCAGTGTTTAAAAGAATACAATTTGTGTGTTGTTATTTCGGGCATAAGCTAGCCAGGCGGCTGGGGTGCTGGGGACGCAGCCCCACTGCTCCAATTTCAACATTTCATGATTTCTTATGAGGAAACAAAGAGGAGA